TATTTATTATTTATTAGTTTTGGTTGCATATACTAAATCAATAAATACAAATATTTTGAAAATATTGATCTATATATCTATCTATATATAAAAACAAAGACATGCATGTAATCATAATAATCATGTATCACCAAAAATAAAATGATAATTGTCATGCATATAAGTTAGTATTCCAAAGAGAAAAAAATGCAAACAAAATAATAACACAAATAACTTTAAATTTGCGTAGTGCTCTTGAGAATGAATAATGCCAAAAAACAATTCTTGTACATTCATAATATATTTAGTCAATCCTTAAACGGGTGATTTGGTAAAGCTTCTTTATATATTTCGGTTCTCCATTGTACTTGTTCATTTTTCAACTATTATTTCGCATTTGTAAGATACTTGTATGCATCGTATTTATGAAAACCTCAGCTTCCTCAGATACATTTGTAACAAAAGACAAATGTAATGTTAAATACAAATAATAAAATAATAACAACAACAACAACAACAATAATAATAATAATAAGTTTAATCAATTATGAATATATACCTTGATAACCTAGTAAAACTTCTTTTTGGATTTCAAGTTCCCTATCACACTTGATCATTTTGTATTTGTGAAATATTTCTATACATCATATCTATGGATCTTCAGCTTCCTTAGTTACATCTACAACAAAAAAACAAATGTAATGTTAATTGGAAAGCACAATAAAATAATAATAGTAAAACCAAAAAATTGGGAAAAAAAATAAGTTACGACTTTAAATTAAAATTACTATAAGTAAAATAAGATTAAAGGAGCCCTTCTAAATTTTTATTTGTGTGTGTGTTAAGTGTACCTTCTTGCTTCACCATCTCAAACCTTAGCATAGTATTCATTGCTTGGAGAACACTTTGGTAAGTTATACTGATCATAACTCATGAGGAAGATATTTTTTTCCGAAGAATTGAAAAGTGAAATTCAAAAGAAGAAAGATATAAAACTTTATTTCTTTTTGGTAGTGAAATTTATAGGAGACCAACAATTTATTCTAATAGATTGAACAAACGATACACCAAAATAAAATAACAATTGTCTTAAATCGTACCTTCGCAGTAGCAGGCCATATAAGCTCATCGCAAACTACATGGCTTGACAAACAAATATTGCTTGTGCTATTTTCTAGTACAAAACTATAAAAGCATAGAATATTAGTCTAACCAAAAAAGCTTTTCAAATACTAAATTAGTTTGAAGAGATCATAATTTTATTAACATAAATCATTCAGAGTAGAAAAAAAAAAGAAAAATTGAGAGACTAACCTAAAGGTTCATATAGTATTGCAGGGTTAGAATCCGAATATATAGTATTCTACCTAGGTCTATTGTAACGACCCAAAGGGGTCATCACCTGTTTTCTTATCCATTATGTGCTTCCGAGGCATTGAAAACCTCATTTAGAGTCGCTTCGATTTGCATGCGCAGTCCGGGCGCGTAGCCGGAAAGCTTAAATATGAAATTCTGTGAAAAATGCTAAGTTTTGATATTAAAATGAATAAAATTTGACTTCGGTCAATATTTTGGGTAAACGAACCCGGCCCTGTGATTTGACGATCTCGGAGGGTCCGTAGGAAAATATGGGACTTGGGCGTATGCCCGAAATCAGATTCTGAGGTCCCAAGCCCGAGAAATGAAATTTTGAGTAAAATTGTTTACTGAAATTGTTAAGGAAAATTGAAATGAAAATTGATTAGAACGTGTTGGTATCGGGCACATATTTTGGTTCTGGCGCCTGGTACAGGTCTTATATATGATTTAAGAGGTTTCTGTAAAGTTTGGTTAAAATTGGACGTCGTTTGACGTGTTTCGGACTTGAATTCCTAAATTTGAACTTGATGGAGTTTTTGAAAATTTCATTGATCTTGAGGTTTAATTCGATGTTCATGATGTTATTTTGGCGATTTGATTACACGAATATGTTCGTAGAATGTTTTTGAGGTTGTGTATATACTTGGGTTAGAGTTTCGAGGGCTCGGGTGAGTTTCGAATAGGTTCCGGGATGCTGTAGGCTTAAAAGATCAGATGTTGCAGGTTCAGGAAAATATTGCAAGCCTCTGAACCCTTTAGCGCGGCCCGCGAGGAATCGTGTACGGCCGAGGTCGCCTTTGCGTGGTCCGTAGTGGGTGCTGTGCGGCCGCAGTCAGCTTTGTGCGGTCCGCGCGGGGCAAAGATCCGCAGGTCTTCAGGAGGGGCCAGCGTGGCCGCGGTCAGCTTAGCGCGGTCCGCGGTGGGGGCTTCAGAGAGATATAAATTCACGTGAATTTCAGTTATTTTTACACTTTTCAAAACCCCAAAACGTACGAGGCGATTTTCCAAACAACGTTTCTTCTCCAAAACGATTAGTAAGTGATTTCTAACTCATTTTCTTCACTTCGTAACATCAAATCAAAGATTTTCATGGGGAAATTGAGTGTTTTGGGTAGAACCTAGGTTTTCTAAAATTGGGGATTTGGACCTTAATTTGGGGTCCGATTTCAAAATAAATTATACATTTGGATTCATGGGGGAATGGGTAAACGGGTTTTGGTCCGAACCTCGGGTTTCGACCATGTGGGTCCGGGGGTGATTTTGACTTTTTTAGTAAAACGTTGGGAAAACTCATTTTCATGCATTGGGGTTGATTCATTTAGCACCTATTGATGTAATTAAGTAACTTATGACTAGATTCGAGCGGATTGGTGGTGGAATCAAGAGGTAAAGCTATAATTGAGACTTGAGTGGTGTTCAAGGCATCGAGGTAAGTGTTTGGTTTAACCTTAGTTTGAGGGATTAGGAGTGGAGTCATATTTGCTACTTGCTTCTTGTTGAGTACGACGTATAGGCATGGTGACGAGTATCTATACGTTGGTATCGAGCATGGTCGTGAGTCTTAAATTGAAAGTGGTTGTGTTCTTAAATGACATTTCAGATGCTTTTAATTAATGATCTTCTATATTGCGCAAAGAATTATTCTATCCTCGCAGATCTTATTTATGTTTGAGCATTTTCATTATTTGGGCTGAGTACAAGCTAAGTTAAGATTGGTTATAGCTGATTCTCCCTTGCCGGGATGATTGTTTCGATATCTTTGTTCCCTTGCCGGGAAACTATTATATTGCTTTTGTTCCCTCGCCAGGAGGTTATTACATCGCTTATATTCCCTTGCCGGGATTTCTTGTAATTGTGTGATGAAATGGGAGCGGGTGGTATGCCTACCACAAGATATATTATGAAATGGGAGCTGGGTGGTACGCCTACCACAAGATATTATGAAATGAGAGCGGGTGGTACGCCTATCACAAGATATAATGAAATAGGAGTGTCACACCTCCTTTTTACCACCCCGAGGGTATATAAGGAAGTTTTTCCAATTTAAGTGACATTATTCGAAATGAGATTATTTTATTTAATCAGAGTCACCACTTGGGATAGATTATGGTGTCCCAAGTCACCGCTTTATTTTAAATCCCAAATCGAGGAAATTTCGACTTTCCTTTTGATGTCTGCTAACCAGAAATTCTAGATAAGGAATTCTGTTAAACTTGGAGAAGGTGTTAGGCATTTTCGGGTTCCGTGGTTCTAGCACGGTCGCTTAGCAATCTTGGCTTAAATTGTTTAACTACTCATTTTTAGGACCTATGTGCAATTATCTTTTTACCCTCTTTTAATCACTTTTGATTTATTCGTAATTAAAGAATTGAGTTACGCGAACGTATACTCTTTTCCTTTGACGCATTAAAATCATGTCACGCGAACGTGTCCACAATTAATAACACTTTGTTTATTTTATTAAGAAAAGTGTGGTTGAAGTTGCGCGAACGCATCCCTCGAGTTACTTTTTTTTTTAGAATTAAATTTGCAATTATGTTATACGAACGCATACATAATTACAATAATAGTCTAAATCGAGCCTAAAGCAAACTACGAGTATTTATGTTTTATTTTTTTTTAAAAAATAATCGTATCATGCGAACGTGTACATAATCACGATAATAATATTCAAATCCTTGTCATGTTTGGAGCCGCCTAATTGTCTAAGAATACAAGTGGCACTACAAATACAAGAGATTCACTACAAAATGCTCGACTTAAATATTCTTGCACTAGGAATTGTGGAACCGCTAGTTTAAAGTGGGAGTAACCTTTACCTGCTAGCTAATTCACAAGCAGAGTATAAGTCCGACTTGCAAAGAATGCCCGCACAACTTTCACTAGCCAACTTGAGGAAAGAAAACAAGAGACCATTGAAACAGATATGTAATTATTCTTTTTAATCCAAAAGTATTATATTATAATATCAGATTTGGTCTTTGGATTATATAGTGTTAATGTTCTTCTAGGCAAATCCTACTGATTATAACATGAAATTAAACCATTATCAGGTGGAGAAAATATAACATGAAATGTAGCACTTCACGAATCCTTTTCAAAAATTACACCCAGCACTCGAAATGAATATGGGTCTGCTACATTCCTTTATTTCTTTGATTTTCGATGTGACCCAACAGTCAACTTCAGTAGTCTACGAGCAGATTGTCAAACAACACAAACTGAGCATGGACAAAATTAAACAGAAATCCTATTAAGAGTTCTCTACAATCAACATGGAAAAATGCACAAAGATAAAGAAGGCCAAAATGACGCCTAAAAGAGACCTGTCTTCTTAACCAAAAAAACAACAACCAACACATACGCATAAGAACACAAACCCCAGCACCTACGGAGCAGCTCAAAACTTAGCAGAAAATGCAGCAACATAGATAAAAAAACTGCCCTGTTTCTCACCCCCACCACAAGCCAGCCTAACAAATATAGCGAAAATGAGCCAAGAAACCAATGAAACAGTCCCCTTTGCGGACAAAATTGAAGAAAACACTTCTCGAATCACAGTACACTTTTAAATCAGTAGTCATGATAGCTTGAGACTTAATGAAAGGTATACATTCTGCAGTAAAGGAAACTCAGAAAAAATACAGCAACTTGACTCCCCAAAACAAATAGGAACCAAAATTCCTTCTCACAATGGTTGATCAGTAAAACAAAACTCGCTGCTTCATGCTTGCACTCAAATCTCGACCTAGTAAAACTCTAACACTTGACTCCAGAAATCATTTTAATATAGATCTGTTTAAGTTCATGTTAACATACTATCACAAGCATTCAGCAAGCCAAACCAGAAATCAACAACTTTATTCAAATAGAAAATGAATACAACAGTGTTGAAACATACCTATTAGTAAAAATAACCGAAAATAGCAAACGAAATTCCGAAACAGAAGAAAGAACTCAGCAGCAGTAACGAAAGCTCGACCAGTCAGCCCACCAGATCGAAATTTCAACCAAAAATTCGGACAAAAATCCAACCAGTGCCAAAGTTCAGAATCCCAGCTACAGACATTAACTTGAAGTTTAATCCAAAAACTTCCCAAAAAATCAAGATTAAAAAACCAAAGCTAGATAAATGTCTGTTTTCGGTCACTTTGTTTTTGGTTTTTCTCTTAAAAAAAATGCAATAAACTCAAAACAAGGATGAACTCAGAGCACACATTTTTTTTTAATGTTTTTTTTTCTAAAAAAGAAACTGAAGAAGAAGGACTTGAAGAAAAATGACTATTAAAAAAACTGAAAATCTCGACTAAGCTTTAAGATCTTTTTTTTTTAGATTTTTCTCCTCTGATTTTTCTATCCCTTCTCAAAGAAAGCTTACCTCATATATATATAGCCCTCAAAATTTCGAATCTTCTGCCCCGAATTCAAAAATCCTCACGTTTGTTTTGAACAATTTTTGGGACAAATGGAAGGCATGGATCGATTTACATCTATCCACGGCCCCCATTAGTCCAGCAAATCGTCCTTTTGAATCCGAAATTGTAGAATTCTGAGAGAATATCGTACTCCTCTGACAAATCTGTTGGGGAATAGAGGTGACGTGGAGAGGGAACCGTTTTGAGTGAGCTCGCTCGAACTCAGGCGAGTCGAGATCGAACTCAGTAGAGAAGAAGAACATTGGAGCCGCCTCTGACTTTGTCTTCTAGGGTTAGGGTTCAAAAATGGGGAGAAATTATAATATAGATTTATAGTAAGAGGGGAAATGGGTTGATCCGGCGGGTCAACCCGGTTGTGTTGGGGCGAACCGGTGGGAGAAAGGTTTTTTTTTGGGCTGCAATTAAGTTGCATAGGGGGGAGGGGGGACTTCTTGGGCCGAAATGTGTGTTGAAAAATGGCCCAATTCCAAAAATGGACTCCTTTCCAATTCTCCCTTTATTTCCTTTTCTTTTAATCTTTCTTCTATTTTTAATTAGAAATCTTAAAATTAAAAACAAATCCTAAATTATCTAAAAATGTAAATTGAGCTAATTAAAAATTGTAAACATTACTCAAATCTATATTAAAAGTGAAAAATCAATAAACTAAAATTAAAGACAAAAAATGTAAAAATGAGCTATTTTTGCTGATTTTCAAATTTTATAAAACAAGTAGTTACAGATTAAATCTAAAAGTGCAAAAATAAATCCTAAATGTAATGCATGATATTTTGGTATTTTATGATTCGAATAAAAATTACACAGGCAAGAAAATTGTAAACAATTAATAAGAATCTACAAAATTCCTAAAAAATGGCAAATAATAAAAAAATAAAATCTATTTTCTTAGATTTTGTAGGAGTATTTGATGTGAGGCAAAAATCACGTGCTCACAGGGAGCGGGTGGTACGCCTACCACGAGATATAATGAAATGAGAGCGGGTGGTACGCCTACCACGAGATATGAGAAATGGGATCGGGTTGCACGCTTGCAACAAGATGAAACCGAAAGTGAAAGTTGCCTTTATTTTCTTCATTTGTGATAGAAGTTATATTGCTAGCTTCCTTATTATTCCCTGTTATTTTCTTTTAACTGCTATCCTCGAAGCATGTTTCCCTTCCCCATCTTTAACTGCTTATTACTTGTTTACTTTTCCGCCATATATTGTATAACTGCACAGGTTTATTTGGAGTCTGGTCCTAGCTTCGTCACTACCTCGCCGGGGTTAGGCTAGACACTTACCAGTACATGGGTTCAGTTGTGCTGATACTACACTCTGTGCTCTTTTGCACAGATCCAGGTCTAGGATAGCAGCAGTAGCGCGGGAACCAGCCTTCAGTCCAGTGAGACACCGAGGTAGCCTTGCAGGCGTCCGTAGGCTCGGTGTCTCCTCTATCTTTTATTTCAGTCTGTTATCTCATGTATTCGAGACAAACAGCTTATATTTTTTTCAAACGGTTGTATTTAGTACTCTTAGAAGTTCGTGAGCAATGTGACACCAGTTCTTGGGTAGAGGCATATGTTTATTCTCGCATTATTGTTTCGTCTTCTTTAATTTAAGTCTTCCGCATAATTATTTAATTCCATTGATTTCATGTTATCACTGATAATTGTTAAAAGAAGTATTTGTTAATGAAGTAAGCAGTTAAGGATTGGCTTGCCTAGCTCACATTAGTTGGCGCCATCATAACTCCCGAGGGTGGGAAATCCGGGTCGTGACAAGTTGGTATCAGAGCTCTAGGTTACATAGGTCTCACAACTCACTGACAAGCTCGGTAGAGTCTGAGGGATCGGTACAAAGACGTCTGTATTTATCCCCCAGAGGCTACAGAGTTAGGAAAATCTCACATTTGTTCTTTCTTATCGTGCGGATTTGTTCCTCAAATGCTAATTGAACTTCTACTCTGTTCCTTGCAGATAGCGAGAACACGCGCTTCCTCATCTACCGCTCAGCAGCCCGAGCCCCCTGCAGCAGCTCCCACTAAGGGCAGAGGGCAAGGCCGAGGCCGTACTAGAGGCCGAGGTAGGGGCAGAGCTCAGCCCCGAGCAGCAGCACTAGTGGCGGAGCCTCAGGTTGATTTCGAGGAGGAGGTTCCGGCCCTAGTAGTTCCAGTGGGCCTAGCTCAGTTCCCAGAGGGGTTCATTGCCAACCCAATTCTTCAGGATGCTCTGGTCCAATTGGTGGGCCTCATGGAGAGTGTCACCCTAGCGGGTTTGCTTCCAGTAGCACCAGCCACTTCTCAGGATGGAAGAGGGGCTCAAACTCTCGCTACTCGCACTCTAGAGTAGGTAGCTCCCCAAATTCAGGTTCCAGCGGTTCAGCCAGCGGTGGCAGTTCAGCCGGGTGTAGTGGCTCAGACCGGCAATGGAGCGGCTATGTCTGCCGATGCTTTGTGGAGACTGGACAGATTCACCAAGCTTTTCACTACTACTTTCAGCGGACTTCTTCTGAGGATCCCCAGGATTTCCTATACAGCTGCCACGAAGTTCTAAGGAACATGGGCATTGTTGAGACCAATGGGGTTGATTTTGCTACCTTTCGACTGTCTGGATCCGCCAAGACTTGGTAGCGGGATTATTGCTTTGCTAGACCAGCTGGTTCACCATCTTTGACATGGGAGTAGTTTTCAGTGTTGTTTCTGGAAAAGTTTCTCCCCGTGACTCAGAGAGAGGCCTTCCGGAGGCAGTTTGAGCGCCTCCAGCAGGGTTCCATGATGGTCACCCAATATGAGACCAGGTTTATTAATCTAGATCGCCATGCTCTTGTCATACTTCCCACCAAGAGAGAGAGGGTGGGGAGGTTTATTGATGGTCTTATTTAGCCGATTCGTCTTCAGATGGACAAGGAGGTTGGGAGTGAGATCACATTTCGGGAGGCAGCCAATGTGGCCCGCCGAGTTGAGATGGTTCTGTCACAGGGAGGTGGTCATGGGTCGGATAAAAGGACCCGTCATTCGGGCAGATTCAGTGGTACCTCGTCTGGAGGTAGAGATTCAAATGGTAGAGGCCATCCTCCTAGGCCCTTTCAGTCAGCTCTTCAGGTCTCCCATGGTACTTCAGGTGGTCATGGTTCTCAGACGCACTATTCTAATCAGCAGTCTTACAGTGCACCGCCACTTCAGAGTTTCCAGGGTCGTCAGCCCCAGCAGCCGAGGGCTTATTTTACTTGTGGCGACATGAGGCACATTGCTAGGTATTGCCCTCGAGCGTCGAGCAGTTTTTTGCATCAGGGTTCTCGTGCTATAGTACAAGCACCAGGTGTTCCACAGCCTACCCAACCAGTTAGAGGTGGGGGTAGAGGTGCTAGAGGTGGAGGTAGAGGTCCTAGAGGTGGAGCTCAGGCCGCCAGAGGTGGAGGCCATCCAGCAGCAGACCATCCCAGAGAGGTAGTTCAGGGGCCCAGCCCCGATGCTACGACCTTCTAGCTAGGCCCGAGGCTGAGGCTTCAGATGCAGTTATTACAGGTACTATTCTAGTTTGTGATAGAGATGCTTCAGTGTTATTTGATCCGGGGTCTATGTATTCGTATGTGTCAACTTAGTTTGCGTCGTACCTGGTCATGCCTAGTGATTCATTGAGTATGCCTATATATGTGTATACACCGGTAGGTAATTCTATCGTGGCCAATCGAGTTCATCGTTCTTGTATTGTAGTGATTGGAGGTCTTGAGACTCGTGTTGATTTGTTGCTTTTATATATGGTCGATTTCGATGTTATATTGGGGATGGACTGGTTATCCCCGTACCACGCTATCTTGGATTGCCATGCCAAGACTGTGATCCTAGCATTACCGGATTTGCCCCATTTAGAGTGGAAAGGGACTCCTGGTCATTCTACCCGCAGTGTTATCTCGTATGTGAAGGCTCGACGTATGGTCGAGAAAGGGTGTTTGGCCTACTTGGCGTATGTTCGCGATTCCCTTTTATTGATTCTATGCCCGTTGTTCGGGAGTTTCCTGAAGTTTTCCCTTCAGACCTGTCGGGTATGCCGCCCCAACAGGGATATTAATTTTTGCATTGATTTGACTCTAGGCACCCAGCCCATTTCTATTCCTCCATACCGTATGGCCCTGCCTGAGTTGAAAGAATTGAAGTAGCAGTTACAGGACTTGCTTGAGAATGGTTTTATTAGACCCAACATTTCGCCTTGGGGTGCGCCGGTGTTGTTTGTTAAGAAAAAGGATGGTTCGATGAGGATGTGCATTGATTACCGACAGTTGAACAAGGTCACAATCAAGAATAAGTATCCACTGCCGAGGATTGATGATTTTTTCGATCAGCTTCAGGGTGCCAAGGTATTTTCAAAGATTGACTTGCGATCTGGCTACCATCAGTTGAGGATTAGGGCATCCGATGTCCCTAAGACAACATTCTGTACTCGGTACGGGCATTATGAGTTCTTGGTTATGTCATTTGGGTTGACCAATGCCCCAGTAGCCTTTATGGATTTGATGAACCAAGTGTTCAGGCCTTATTTGGACTCGTTCGTGATAGTCTTCATTGATGATATTTTGATATATTCCCATAGCCGGGAGGAGCACGAGCAGCATCTTAGAGTGGTTCTTCAGACCTTGAGGGATAGTCAGTTATATGCTAAGTTCTCGAAGTGTGAGTTTTTGTTGAGCTCAGTTGCATTTCTGGTTCATATCGTATCCACAGATGGTATTCAGGTTGAGCCGAAGAAGATTGAGGCAGTTAAGAACTGGCCAAGATCAGCATCAGCTACAGAGATTCGGAGTTTCTTGGGATTGACAGGCTACTATCGTCGGTTCGTGGAGGGGTTTTCATCTATTGCAGCCCCGTTGACCAGGTTGACTCAGAAAGGTGCCCAGTTCAGATTGGTTAGACGAGTGTGAGGCGAGCTTTCAGAGGCTTAAGACAGCTCTGATTACGGCACCAGTGTTAGTTCTGCCTACAGGTTCAGGGCCTTACACCGTTTATTGTGATGCATCTCGCATTGGGTGCAGTGTTGATGCAGGAGGGCAAGGTCATTGCCTATGCTTCGAGGCAGTTGAAGATTCATGAAAAGAACTATCTAGTGCATGATTTAGAGTTGGCAGCCATTGTTCATGCATTGAAGATTTGGAGGCACTATCTGTATGGCGTGGCATGTGAGGTGTTCACTGATCACAAGAATCTTCAGTATTTGTTCAAGCAAAAGGAATTGAATTTGAGGCAGAGGAGGTGGTTGGAGTTGTTGAAGGATTATGATATCACTATCTT